GTTGATGATATTCGAAGACGTGTCAAACTAGCGCGAGATACTAAGTTTACAAGCAAACCCTATATCTATACGAAACCATTTCCATGTCAGAATGACCTATCCGCCTATCGCCTTTGGCAATGACAACGTTTTTTTGAACTAGGTGTATTCTAAAATAGTAATGTTACATGAATGTTGACAGAGAATGCATGTTGATGATATTCAAAGACGTATCAAACTAGCGCGAGATACTAAGTTTCCAAGCAAACCCTATATCTATTTATATTCGGCCATTGTGAAAGGTTATCAATATTTGAAAATAAAAAAAAAACCAAATTCGTAGTTACGGATCGAAACGTCTGTTGTCAGAGACAAACAGTTCAAGAAATATTATGATTCCTGACTTCAATCATAGTATTGTTAGCATAAGTTCGAAAGGAGTAAAATACGTACTTCAAGAAACTAGACAAGCAGCATAGGCTTGTAAGCCGAGGCCACGTTTACATTTATATTTTTAACTTACCTAATGAAACGTATATTGAATAATCGTCTCGTTCGTGATTCAAAATTTGTATCACGAAATCTGTTTTGTGTGTGTGTGTGTGTTTTTTTTTGTGTGTGTGTGTTTTTCCCCCCGGTGTGTTAATCAAGTCCCGTTAGAGGGAGGGACAGAAGGAAGGGACAGGACGGAGAGACATTTAATATTGAAGTTTAGGGATAGATATATTTAAAAAAAAACAGCATTGGCTTTAATCTTACTTTCCCTAGAACTAACTTGGTCCTGAAATAGTTTTACTAATAGATTAATTTTTAAATATAATTAGTTTGAGATTTGAGATTTTTCTTTTTCTTGTATAGGCGCCTCGTATGATTTGATTTTAATTAGGTGAATAAAATGCATTAGTATATCATTACTATTTTTATTACTCTTTAATTAGTTCTTAATTGTGTATACACTCAATTGAAGAATCGTTGTCGGGTTCAGAAACATAGAACATAAAAGCTGAGACCGAAACGGCACATGGGAAATGACATAATTATATTATAATTTATTCATTTGCGCCATCCATGCAGTCGGTTTAGAATGCCAAACGCGTATTAAAAACAGTGGATGATGTCACGGGTCGCCGGTCACAGCATGCATCTAATTAACGTACTTCCCATGTGCCACTTCGGTCTCAGCTTCTATGTTCTATGTTTCTGAACCCGACAACGATTCTTCAATTGCGTGTATATGGCGTGAGCACAACTGAAAGTTCAAGTGATTTTGCCGGACAACTAAACACATGCCGAAAATCCTTCGAGTGTTCACAGTGTTTTTTTCTTGCTGTGATTTTTTTTAGATTCATTCAAACCGTATGATGCCAGGTTTAAAAGTTATAAGAATACATTAAATTAAAAAAAAAAAAAGAATTTCATTTCCATTTGTTTCTGAAGTGGCGTTAATGTGTCAGCTAAAACTAATCAAGACTGACTTCTAAGAGTTGGACTAATTGCATCATCATTCACACTTGTCAATGTGAATGCTTCAAGAAAAGGAGTGCCATCCTCTAGAAAAGAAAAGAAAAAGATCACCTGCAGTATTGACTAAATTTCTATTTCATGTCGCCGAGGGCAGCTGAGCATTTTATTTATTCCTTGACAAGTTGTCCGTTGGCACATTTCGTCCATTTCTTGACTGACAAACGACGCCAGTTACATGGAAATCCAAGCAGTTTCTTCCATTAGTAAGATCCAATTATAACAACCCTAAGTAAAGAGAATAGATGATCGTTTGTCAGACAGAATTATTCATCCCATAAGAGGCTTTGCAGTACTTGTGGATCGATTAGATACCAAATTGGAAAAACTCCTGCTATTGGTTCATAGGTCTGTCATGTGGGTATTCATTCAAGTAGAGTGCAATATAAAGTGTCTTGTTGTAGATCTTTGTTTCACACTTCAATAGAGGTTGAGACATTAGAACAGTGTAGTATAAAAAGCTCTTCGATTCTGTTGCGGTTTGTTTCGCATTAAACCGCACTACATAATTCGCTTGAAAGGTGTTGGTAAATGATAACATATATTTTGAGGTGTTCAACTACTTTCCTCACACGTTGGCTAACACGCACAAAGTATTTGGTTACCAAGGTTTGAAAAAAAGTGAGTACAGGAAAACGTTTAAAGCCGATAAACACTTTGAATTTTATGCATAGTCTTTTTATCCACGAMTTCAGAAAAAAAACTATATTCTTATACGAACAAAATAATTATATATATCATATATAATTTATATATAATATATGAATTATATAGTAAAGATTGGATTAAAGACGAGATCTCGTCTTTAATCCAATCTTTACTATATATCTATTGCTCTGCATCCCTACGCATCGAGCACTGTTTCAACAGTATAGACCACATTACATACTTTGTAATATATGAATT